TTAATGTGGTTTTGTCAGCACTGCAATACTAAATAGCACTCATATTTAAATTATTTAATAATAAGCCTTGAGTTAGGAGTCTACTGAGAAGAATAAGAGCAGTTTATGTGTCTCTGAGAAAGCAGAAGTTATTGCAACACATACAGTCATCTTGAGTTTGCCTTTCCCGTTGACTTCCAAACAAGCGTTGCTGCAACAGCAGGGACATAACACATGGAGCCAGTCTAATGACCACGTATTTATATATGGTCCTCTCTGAAGCTGTTTTTTCAGCTGCAAGAGTCAGATTTTTTTTAATTAAATATAGATTGTTGATCGTTAAGTTTTCAACCTACAGATTTGCTTAGCTGTCTGGCACAGCTGTGACTTTGCAAATGGCAATTCTGACTTTGCCAGATTTGACCCATTTCATATCAAAACGATAAGTCATTTTCAACCAAAATGTTTCACAAAAAAGGTTGCTCTTTGACTGGCATACATTGTGAAGTTCTAGTTGATAACAAAAATCAAAATCCCCCTCCAGTCCCCCCCCCGCCCCAGCCTTTTCTTAACCCATTAAAACATTGGGGTTTGGTTTTAAAATACTACAGAAAAAAACATTTTCTGACTGTCTCCATTCAATACAGTGTTTCCTATTTCCAATGGGGAACTTGAAAGAAGTCTCAGTTGAGCTAATTACTTTCAAGATATGTAATGGGATGAATATTATCTGATCCAGCAAGGGTTAGTACCTTGATTTGTTGGTGGTGTAGGAGTAGTGTTTATTCATGTTGAGTTTTGATTATCATTAGAAATTATTTGGGTTTTGTTTGCTTGTTTGTCTGCTTTTCCAAATAGTTGCATTTACCAACTATTAGGGAAGCCTAAAAGACTGATAAGGTGAATTCTTTAGTTTGCTGGAGATCTCTCACAGAAAGCAGCTGGTGTGATAAGCCTGTTATTTTTAGTGAACAGGCTGGATTTAACTGATTATCCCATCTATTTTCTACTTTTAAATCATCACATTTTAGAAACTTCTCCACCAGTCCCCTTCAAAAGAAGAGTGTCTGGTTGCAGCACATATCTTGTCATTTCCCCATCACTAAAATAAAGAAGAAAATGATTGAAAAAGGAGTTTAGGGAGGATCATTCATTATAAAAAGAAGCTTCAAAATGATGAAGTGTCTGAAAAAAATAAAGGGATTCATATTAACCATTTTATTTACAAGCTAGTAAACAAGGATATTTCAAAATATAAGCTTTCAAAAACTGGTGTTTTATCAGATTTGTGGCAGTGTTGTAACACTGATGCTCCTCTTTGTGACCTTTATTTTTCTCCTTACTTGAAAACAAATTCTGTGCTCCTTTGCAAGTAGTTCGTACTAAATATAACTCATCCCAATGTGGAAGTCCTTTGTATGGGACTGGCATGCTGGATAACCACAGCATGAGGTCTCTACACATGGTGGATTTCATCAACAGGGAATCATGCGGATGTCGAACGCAGTGCTCATCTTTGGGTTGCAGGATTCAGCCTTTAATTTGCAATAAATGGAATGGGATGGTGTTATTCTTGTCTAAGAAATGTTTTTTGAGAATGATGCTTACAGAAGAACCTCATTAAAGATCATTAACATCTTACTCTCTAGGCACATAGGCTGAAGGTAGACATGTCACACAAAATTATACACTGTCTTCCTTTTTCAGCAAAGCATGCATTGCAGAGCTCTGTAGTGAGCTCGTAGATGTAACTGAGACTCTATTACCTCCATTCAGAAGACTCCATTCAACATTTCTTCTTCTCCTGGAAGTATTACCATAAATTACAAACATGAAACTGCCTGTACTAAGTGATCTAAATAAGTTTAGTATTATATAATATATATTATATATATAAATTTTTTTTTATATTTAGTTTTTATAGACACTTAGAGTCTAAGGCTTACTTTTGCTGGGCTCTACCTGAAAAGAAAAACCTCTGCCCTGAGGACCTTATATTCTCTTTATTCCTATATCACATGCATTGACTTAATTTCTATTGTGCAAGCATACAAAGTTCAGAACTACATGAATTACTGTGAATTTGCAGCTGAACATCCTCCAGAGGTGCTTCTCCGAAGGCTGTACTGGGGTTGTGCAGACCAGATCTCTGCTACCTGTTCCTTCATTAATTACAAAGACACACTCCTTGGGGCCACTTTCTAGCACGTGGCCATGTCTAGACGCTCTGAGCACAGCAAAGTGTTAGGTGTTGGGAGATGGGGCTTCTGAAAAACCCATCACCAAATTAAAGATGAGGTGGTGAATAGGCAACAGTAGAAAACTCTGTGAACTGCCTTTGACTCATCCAGCTTCTGCGTTATTGGGAAAGAAAGCCAGATAGCAACCTGATGGTGTAATATTTAAGTTATCGAGGAAACAAAGAAAATGCTGTAGCCCTCCAGTCACAGGCTGTGAGTCTTGGTGAAAATCCCTTCTCAATGGTAAGCACAGGAGATGCAATGACAATTGCTTGTGACAGGGATGACGGCACTAGATTGTATTGCCTTCTTGATTTAGTAGATTTGACTTCTACATTTTCACACAATGACCTAAAAGAAATATTATACCCCAGAGTAACTTTGAAATTGTTTGTTTAAATTAACTTTCATTTGGATTTATGCTTAATGAAATCTTCAGAGATGCAGACAGCCCCCCTCTAATGAAATGCTGTATCTTTGAACCAATGAACAGGGTTGCCAAACTGTAAGGATTCCTCTCTAAACGAGTGGGCTTTTATAATGTTACACTTGGGTGGCACAAGCAGAGTGCTAGATGATTAGTTTATGGTCTAGATCATTGTATTTTTATTACACTCATAAAAACTGTGTTTCTCCTCATTTTCGTAATGGCTTCAATGAGCTTCTATACCTTCTAGAGACACATTAAATCGTTATGTGATGAAAGTACTGATTTAGTGGGGCTAGTTTTAAAGTAAGATACATGTTTTGAATCCTTATCTTAGTCTGATTGCTGACTAAAAAAGGTGAAACTACATTAGAATGAATGAAATCTGTACCATCTTCCTTACACACAAAGAAGGTTCCCAGCTGTGGCCTAAAACAAATGGAATACAAGAAAGATACAAATGATAAGTCTACATCTGTCTATAAAATAAATTCTCTATCAACTTAAAGTAGTTTTGCTGGTTTTGTCGCATTGTGAGTTTTTAACAGGAGGATGAGTGGATTACAGATATTTTTAGTTAAAAAATCCTTTTAAGGGGAAAAAAAGAAGATAAGAAAGATTACATTTATTCATTACATTCACTGTAATTTTTTCCCCACTTCTGTTCAAAATTATAAATTATCCTATTCTGTGCAAACCCTAGATTCATTTCTCTAAATAATTCTAAGCTGGTTTTAAAAGTTGTTTTAATTATGTTGCAAAATGAAAAAAAAAAAATAGGAGGAAAAATCTTATTTGTTTCTCTATATGCAAGCTATTCTTAAAAGAGAAGACAACATCATTATCCATGAATGGGAAACCTTTTTATTTGATATGTAATTAAAAAAAAATAATCCTTGAATTGAATGTATCATCTCATCTTTGCACAGTTTAGACAAAGGCCTTTTTTGTTTACAAAATTTACATGTCAATACAGTTGCTTATAAATATTTCTGTGAAATAAACATAACCCTTCACAAAAAGAGCAGTTTACTCTTCATTCAGTAATTTTATATGCTAGCAAAAAGACAATGAAAGTTGTATGCAAATATAACATCAATGTACAGCATAATAATAACAGTTTTTAGTGATTATGCTGCTCGGTATTAATTCATAGGAGCCTTTTTGTTCAGCTATGAGCTGTGTTTGGAACAGAGATATGCCAGACCAGAGCATCTTTGCTTGTTCTGCTGTTTGTGGGAGACATCCACAAATCCTTTACTTGAGGATGCACTGGATTCCTGTAGCCTACTCTGTAGCTGGTCTAAATTATTAAGCGATCATGCTGGTAGCGAAGGTACACTGTTTTCCTCTGTTCCTGCTGTACCTGTGCTTTGTGAGTGCACAGTCTGCAGCAGGAGCTGGACTTCCCTTCTACCTCCAGAAAAAGAAAAAAGGAAAGTAAAAGGGGAAAGAGAGAAAGAAAAGAGGAAGGGGGGGGAGTAGGCAGAGAGAAAGAATGAAAAAGTTAAGGAAAGAAAAAGAAAAAAGGAAAAGAAAAGATAAGAAGAGAAAAGAGAAAAGAAAGGAGAAAAAAAGAAAAGAAGAGAAAAGAGATAGAAGAAAAGAAGAGGAAAAGATAAAAAAAGAAAATAAGAGGAAAAGAAAAAAGAAAAGAAAAAATAAAAAGAAAGGAATAAAGGAAAATTGAAAGAAAAAAGGGAAGAAAGGAAGGAAGAAAGAGAAAGTAATGCACATTTGCAACAAATCTTTTATAAGTGTGCTTTTGGAGGGACGATTTCTCCATCTGAAATGTTTCTGGAAGAACAGATTTGGTTTGGGTTTTTCCTGCCTTGTCCTCCTTACTGTTGTTCAGATGCAACTTTTACGATTGTTTCAGCAATGCAGCACTTTAATACCTTTTGCTACGTGGCAAACTGTAAAAAGACACAGGGTTGAGTACACAAACAGCTTTCAGTACATGCGACTTTAGTAGGTCCATGGTGCTTTAGTATTAAACATCAAATCCCAAATAGCTGTGTGTTCTGCAAGCGTCGTTCAGTGTTCCCTTTGTGGATCTAAAAGTTTGACAGAAAAGCAGCTGAACACGGTACCAGGAATGAGGAGAGATTTTGTGGAAGACCCGAATTGAAATCGCTGGAAATTCTTTAATATTTCATGGACGCCTGCAAAATATGGTGCCAGTTTATTCAGGGATTTGAAAGCAGCTGCAGAGTAAAAGTGTCTAATGAAAATGAAATAAATTTCCTGTGAATGGAATAAATTTTGATTGTGTGTCTGAGTGCAGTAATTATACATGCCACGCAGTAATTAGGCAGTCACAATGTGGCCACGGTGTCTTTCTTTGTCTGCAGATGGTCTGGGAGAACGGCTGTGTCGTTATTGTCATGCTGACACCCCTCACGGAAAACGGAGTCAAACAGTGCTACCACTATTGGCCAGACGAAGGGTCAAACCTCTACCACATCTATGAGGTACCTAAACAAAATATCTGGTTGTAAATGTGACAGTAAGTGTATGGCTTGATTTCATACCGGGCAAAATGGTGTTTAAGCCGATCTAACCTGGAGGCTGAGCTCAGGGCTCTTAACTACTTTTCATGTGCCTTCGAGTAGTTTTAGATTTGCAAAAAATTCAAGTGCAGTTTTAATAGCAAGGTGGTTTCTGCTGAATAAAATCTAGTAAATAATGAGCCAAGTATTACAATGAAAATAAGGACAATAATTTTGTTTTTCAAACGGTTTTGCAAGTGGTTGAAATATAGAAGCCTGTATTTATATTTTATAGGAAAATAGTATTTTTAGAACTAGTGAATTTTGCCTAAGGAAAGCCATATGTATATCTTTATAGAAAAGCCTCTATATAGCTTTAGTAATTAATGCTATCTATTTTTGCCTCTCGCCTCAGTCACAACGACAAATACATATTTTCATTTTCTGCTTTACATTTCTAGCCCAAAATATCATATCACCAGTTTTGTTGCAATGTAACGTTGACAATGGCTGTCAGATTTTGCCAGTTGTCCAGCTGAGTAGAGGAAGAAAATAATACCACAATGCCAGATAGGAAGAACAGGAAGATGTGAAGAAATATTGTTATTTAAACTAAAATGTGAACAAACTCATTTTCTGAAAAGATGAACTCTGCAAAGAAGCTGCATTTTTAATGCTTATTTTTCTAGATAGAAAGAAGAAGATAGTCAGAAGACTTTTCTAGATAGTCAGAAGAAACTGACTCTTCACTTCTCATGTGAATTCAACTCAGATTTTTAAGACCTCTGCGAATGGCCTGGGCAATGCATTGTGGGCATTTCCAAGTAGAAGGCGACTGGCAGTCTAACATATTTTCAGGCAGTGTCTTTTGTATTCACATAACAATATAAAATTTCAGTTTAGTGATTTTTTTTCTTTTGCATTAAAATTGTCAAGAATATTTTTTATGTTTTCAATAAAATAGCAGCGGCAGCTAACCCCTTCCTGACAACCACACTGATTGCCAAATTTAAAAAATTCCCAGCAATGGCCAATTTGCTAATAAAAGTAAAACTTTCATGCAATTCCTTCATCCCAGACATCTTACACCTCCAATCCTGAAGATATGGCTTGCAACCAAAATCGCTGATCTCCATTTGTTCCTCCCTGTGGGGTGTAGGTAAACCTTGTCTCTGAGCACATCTGGTGTGAGGATTTCCTGGTGAGGAGCTTCTACCTGAAGAACCTGCAGACGAACGAGACCCGCACAGTGACACAGTTCCACTTCCTCAGCTGGAACGATCAGAGGGTTCCCGCTTCCACGAGATCGCTTCTGGATTTCCGCAGGTAAAGCACAAAGTATGACAGTTCGTTTAAGACTATGCAGATCTGAGGAACTAAACTAGTCCTTTTAATTGTCCTTTAAATATTTGTGGTTTGAAAGGGGGTTCCTCAGCCTGTGATGCCACAGTGCTAAACTAACACAAAAATCTGCAGTAGGTTGATGTGTAGTGTTGTCTCACACATAGATGTTGCCTGGTTTTAAGACATACTCATTTCCCATTTAGAGATTGATACCTTTGCTCCCTTTGTACAGCTCTTCAGTGCTTCTGTATTTTTTTGTTTTCCAAGTATTTATCAATTCTGCAACTTCCAGGCTTTTTGTGTGGCCCCCGCCATGCTCCTTATTGCAGGAATCTCACAAATAAATTATGTAGTATGAGCACGCTTGGAAAAAAAAAATCACAACGGAGTCATATGGCAATAACAGCATTCCCGTGGGAGCGTTTGCTCGTAAGGATCAAACAGTGAGGTCTCTAGACCTTCTCTGGCTGCAGGAAGGTGGAAATTTGAGAAAACAGATGAAAATGTTGACAAAGCATACCCTCTGGACTTTTAAAGAAAGTCAACGTGGCTTTAAAATACAAACATACAAAGGCAAAACCTTTGAAAGTCCTTGCCACCTTCTCTAATGTTTGCTGTGTCTATCTAAATTTTAATTTGAAAATTAAAGCCATGCATGATAAATACTGGAGCGAAATAATCTTCATTTGATTGCAAACCGTGCCCAGTGCATCGTGTGTAGGTGTTAGCATGTATCAGCTAATCCACAGCGATGTGCTTATGATTAATGAAAAGAATCTCCCGGAGGTTTGGGGAGTTGGTTCTCAATCCACAAGCGGTTTGTGGGATCACATGTTTTCCTCTCTGTACTACAATATTATCTACAACCCCCCAAAGTGATTATAAGGGGCTCAGTGCTCAAAAGGTCCAAACTTGTTTCTTTCAATAAGCTCTGACTGATGCCAGTCGGAGTTACGCATCTGCACCTGAGGGGAGAAGCTGGCGTATATCCAGCGGGAGCTGGTTGCACAGTTGCCTGTTGGCAAGACTTTACCCTTAAAAATTTAGGACTAAATGCCACTCTTCATCCGTCAGTAGTCTTGTACGTATTGCGAGGCTTTTCAAAGCAGAGGGTCATCTCGCACGGTGCAGGTCAAGTAACGGAGTACAGCTGTACTGAGGCACTAGGAGCTATGGCTAGTTAAGCATATAAGGATATGCTACAGAGTCGCAATGCAAAAGCAGTACCGGAGGAAGGAAGCACGGCCATAGGATGGAGTTGAAATTGTAATCAAATTTTCAAGGTTTTCTTCCCTGGGTTCAAACTTCAATGTGATTTTTATAGGTTGATTTCCCTTTGCTTGCGGTACTGAGGAAGTTGCCTGTAGTGAATTTCTGTAGTGAAAATTCTGAATTGGTTCCATTAAGCTGTGTGAGGCTGCAGCACGGAGCTAACACAGTGTCTGATTTTGCTCTTTCTGAAGTTAGTGGGAAATCTGCTAGCAATTCTAACTAGACTCTAAATGAGCCTGTACAGCCAGGACATCTGAAGTTCGGAGCACCTCGACTCCGACTTGCTGCAGTAAGAATTGAGGTCCCTGCATGAACTGCAGGATTAGATCTACAGTAAGTCACAGTTCACATCGCCAAGAAAGCACTTCTTAGAGTGACATTGTGTAAGGGTTAAATAGCCATCTTGAAGAAGTGTTGTGCAATACTTTGAAAAAGAAAAATTATAACTAGATGAGAAAAGTAGTGGAGCTCCCATTCTTTGCATTTAAAGCCGGTATGGGAATGAACCTGTTAAGTTTTAATTGAATTCTGAGTGTTCATTTCATATGTATTCACAGTCCAGTGTAGGGTACTGTAATCATTTGCTACGTGCAGATTTTGTACAATGAACTCATAATACTGAATGCATAGTAAAATTCCGCCTGAAAAGGAATTTTGGCATGCACAATAGCAGGTCGATGAATCTCAGTTTTCTTGGTCATCTGATGTTGCTGGTTTTTTAATGACAAAAAAACTAATGCACTATAGCTAAAAATAATGTATTTGGAATTAATTTATACAATACATGTTTTGCACCTAAAGCTACCTATTTAAAGTACAAACTCTGCTGGATTACAACAGCTGAGTCACAGAGCCCCCAAAATAAATGTCTGACAGCGCTACCTTACTTGTAGTAGGGTAGTGCTAGGAAGGGGCTGCTCTCATTTCTTTTAATCTTATCTATGTTTTTATGTGCATTCAGTGTGTTTGTATATATATATGGATATGTGTGTATATTTATATATTCACATACATATATGAAATTAAGCATATACATAACCAACCCTCTATTTTTTATAATTCATCACCAAGAAAAATTGGATTCCCAAAATTACCTTGCCCAGAGTCTGTGGAAATATGGACCTTAAAATTTTTATTGAAGTAAATTTTGCAAGTCTCTTTGAAAACTGAAAGCTTACATTTCTCTTACTGTGTATCAGACAGTGTTTTAGATGATTTTGCATCTAGCAGATACATTAAACCTTGCAGAATAATCTATCATACTTTCATAATGTAGGTATAAATTGCCAAAAAGAAATTATTCTATATATTTTAAAAATCTGTACAAAAGACAGTCCCTGAGAGGTGAGGCTACTACAGAAACCACTGGTCAGTTTTAAATGCTTCTGGAGTCCTAATTTCATTTTGAACAATAGACCAATCATTATTGCTCTGGACTAGCTTGTTAGTCATGCACTGATATGTGTAATTAAATATTTCTTGAGCCCAGAGGGAGCACATTTACACTTTAAAGAGGGACTGCTAAGCTAAAAGATAATTAGCATCACATGTGAGGGCTTTGCTTAAAATATATATCTATTATGCTATCACTTCTCGCTGTGTGCAATGGCATTTACTAACACTGCTCACTTTAAAAATGGACAAATTCTTATTTTGCCAGCTAATTAGCGGTTGCCAGTGTCATTTTTGTGATGTTGCAGCTAGTAATATGAGCCCAGTTGCATAGTCACAAAAGTGATCATTGGAAACTGTGACTCTGCTGCAGGGACAATGTGGGAAACCCCTTTTCTGAGCCTCTAACGACCTCTGACCTTTGCTTGCTGATGGTTTGCATGATGATTTCTTTTTCACTCAATGAGCCAAGGGTTGGTTTGTATTACTAATCATTCTTTCTAAGTTAATTCTTCCTGTATATGTGTATATATATATAAAATATATATTTTCTTCAACATTCAAGAACTTTGCTTACTGATGAATTTTCAGCTCACTCTCATTAGCCAGAACTAAGAATGAAATGAGATGTTGCTGCACTTCTAAATATTTTCATAAACTATATATAGACAAAGCTATGAACCAGCTGGATTGAAATCCTTTGTTTTAATGTGTTTTCTGAAATGTGTGATAATGAAAATGTTTGAAACGCCTTCAATAAAACTGACAAACATAAGGTGTCTTTCGCTAACATGTGTCTCTGGCTGTCTGATTTACTGGGAGGTCTGATTTACTGATAGGTTTAGATCGAGTTTGTCATTGAAATTATATTAGGACTTTGGTAATGGCTAGTCTCAACTTGCAAATATCATATTAGGGGTGCCATACAAGGAACAAAGGAACCACACAAGCAGAAAAAGAAATGGTAAATACCCCTCTGTAGTTATTAGCTTTTATTTAATACTTTAAATGCAGAAACGACTCTTTACTAATGCGCGTGATGGGGGTTGGGGGGAGGATGACCAGCTGCACATAGGAGAACGCAGACTGACTATATCAGATGTTGTTACAGACATTTCAAATCTAATTTACTGTACAATACAAAACATAAATATCAGGCTTTATATGGTATAGAAGGAGATGATCCTCAGATATGACCATCAAGAATTGAATGGTTCGTTCATATGAAAACTCTACTAAAGCTTAAGTCATTGAAGTTTTGCTTGGTAGTGCTTGCATATATATGCATTTATGGACGTATAAATGGGCCATTTAACTTCTAAAGTCAGGTGCTTCTCAATGACTTACCACTTATTTCATAGAACATTGTTCTACTGCGTTAATTACATACATCCAAGGAATATAAATAAAGACAGAATGGCTCTGCAAGTATGATTTATATCAGTAAGCAAAAGAGTAAGAATTGTGAAAAATGCCTGAATTCTAATGTTTAAAGGGAGTCATTACAAGAACTTAATATTGTTACCAAGTTTGCTTAGAACCTTAAATAATAAAAAGGAGAATGTGAAAACACAGTTTCATGAGACATCACCAACATTTCTGTAGCCTGTTTGGGTTGAGTTCCAGGTATCTCGACTCCCTGTCAGATTTAGAAGTTTAGGCATCTTCAGGCTATACTGTAAGCAATGTTTAAAGATATATGCATGTTTTCACAGCACAGATGTTAGTGAATAGATGAACAGCCAAGAACTAAATGATTCAGTAGGTTAGTTATGCTTTAAAATTCATAATAACATCATACCACAGTTGCCAAATTCCAGCAGCTCACTTCAGTTTAGCAGTCAGGATCCTGTGTGACACTTGTGCTGAGCTGGGGACTATTAGAGGGTCTGGGCACCCCTTGGAACCCTATGAAATGGTTTTATAGGAGACCGTCTAGCTCCAGTAAACTCAAACATCTCATCAAGTAAATTGAATGAAAGGTTTTGATTTCATGAAGCAATGCTTTCCCATTTTAGCCTTTATTCAGCTTGCCTTGTTAACATATGTGTGCATATTTTATGTTTTTTTGGGCCTGTAACATACTCGACATGCAAAATATATCCTAGAGCAGAAGAGAGGGTTTGGGATTTTGGGTTGTGTAAGGCAATTTTAAATAGATTTAAACCAACTTTGTGGGCTCTATTCTTAGACTGAGTATCTTGGTTTGCTTCAGCACTAGTTAATTCCTTCACTGAGTTTACATATCAGCAGACCTGTTCTATAGCTGTACTTTTATTGATTGACTTCACATATATTCTCTTTCCACTGAGAATGTTTAACCAGGAAGCTGTAGCAGACAATAATGTGTAAATATTAAATATGTAAGACTTCTGCACTAGAACCAAAGCAGTAAAGCTTACTGATGGTTTTAGTTATTTTTACCACAATAGATTGCATTTAAGAATTTTGTGAGAAGCTTTTCAGGAGATTTGGTATTCGCCTTTCTGGGGAGAACTGGTTTTACAAATCAGCACACATTGTACAAAGTATACCAGAACAGCCATTTTTAATTCTGGATTCAGTTTGATGCCCCTCGATATTTCTTTGAGCAAGCTTATGAACTCAAAGCTGGCTTTAAAATTAAAGCATCTTAAGATAATCTTAGTTTTGGAGCTAAGATATGAGACATTTGAGAAAAGAGATCATTTATTTTGCCTAGCCAACAGCGATAATGGGATGTTTTCTGGGATTTCTACTGCAGCAGAGCAGAAGCAAACTTTAAAAAAGACTATGTATGTAACAACTGCTTGTTATATTAGGAAACTATCAACCTGACTGTTTCTTTAAAGATTGCAATATGTGCTTTTTCTTATTGCTTATTTTTGACAGTTGGCTAAGGAAACAGTATGTAATATGCTTAATTAATTTTTTGTGTCTGTTTTATTTCAGAAAAGTAAACAAGTGCTACAGGGGTCGCTCTTGTCCAGTAGTTGTTCATTGCAGGCAAGTACCATTTCTGAAATAGCTTTAGAGAGCTTTGTATGTGTAAGAATTTAATATAGATATAAACAAAATGGGCAAATTAAAGCTTTAGATGAATCACTAAACAGACAGTGAGGTAGGGTGAAGGTATTAAATATAATTCAATTGCTTTTTAATGCTAATTAATACTTAGGTTCTGTCTTCATAATCAAGTTGTCCTTTCCTGTGATTTCGTAGATGTTGTGCCATGACTTAACGATGTATGGCCACCCTTTCCAATATAAGTAGCACTTCAGTTTCATAAATCTCCTTCAAAATGATAGTGGTTCCTTGCATTCCTTCCTTGCATAGTCTTCTTTATTTTATTAACACTCAGTTATGTTTTATTTCTTCTTTGCTTACTTTTAGTGATCATGGTAAGAAGAGGGCAATGTCAGGGAGTGGAAACCTACCCAGAGATTGAGTAATCTTTTAAGCACAGATTATCTTTAGGCCTGACAGTCTGGTAGATGCACACGAAAACTATCGGGCAGGTCAATGGAAAACTATACCATAATAACGTTAATGTTTGGTTTTGCCATTGGAGGTTCTCAGTTATAAGGAGAATGTTGCATTTATTTATCGAAGATATTCATGTAGATAAGGAAGACAGAAAACCAGCCCTGCTAAGAGGCAGGTTGTTTGACATGTAGGACTCCACTTCGAGTGGGAGTGAGGAGGAAGGGGAGCTGTTTCTCCTGTGTGGCTCAGCAGAGTCACCTTCCACTGGATGCGAGGAGGCCCTCTGCAGAGGTGAATGCTCTGGAGGAGGCTTGTTTGCCTTGCCTTCAGGAGGCCTGAGAAAAGAAACATTTGATGCAGAATGAAGAGCCTTCAAGTTTCGTGCTTTCCTTACTGTGATGGATGGAAATGTCTACTGTTGGCTCAGTAGTTTTGGTTTTTATTGGGCCTGATTGCTGCCTTGTCTCTCATTATTCAGCTTAACTAATAAGATTGTGTCTTTGTTCCCTTCATAGACATGGAAAAAAAAATTATTACCCTTACCTCCTTTTCTCTAAGCAGTGATCTAGTAACTGAAAGAAAAAAAACTCGGTCTACAGAGACTTAACAAAAATTAAGTTTCATAGCCTGCCTGTAAACAGAATGTAATAACGTGCTTCACGCTGTTCTATTATTTTTCCTTTCATTAATTCTTGTACACAAATTGAGCTATCAATAAAAATAATGGCTTAATTAATAAAACTACATACCAGTCTAATTGGTCACACATGCACCTTTGTAAAAATTTTGGGGAGGGAAAGAAAAAAAGCTTTTGCTTAAAGTCTTAATTATGTTTGCTAACAGCAGCTCTAAAAGAGCATCACGCTGGCAATTACACGTTGCTCTCTGAAAAGGACACAAGCTGCATTCAGATTAGGGAGCTTTCCCCCTCCAAAGGCTTGGTCTTACATCTCTGAGGAAGGGCTGATGATACACAAAAGTTAAAGCTGTTTCTTAGGAATTACATGATAATATTTTTTCTGGTCATTGCAGCTAAGGAAGAATTAAAGGGAAAGGTAAAAAGAAAAAGCATACCACTCGTGATGTATAGTGAAGAAAGATTGCTGTCCCTCAGTAATCAAATATTTTGGTTCTCAAGCAGGTCTCTGTATGCATTCCCTCTGACCTCTGTGTTCAAATGCAATCTGTGACATTTTGAGACCGTTCTGGATAATGTTCTGGTCTAGCTTATTCTGTGGTTCTTGATCTTACATACAAGTGACTATAAGCTCATTATATGGATACTTTTTGAACAGAAACGGTATCCTGGTTTAGGGTTGGTGACTTTTCCACTGTTGTTTAAAATGCTTTTCTTGCATAAACACGACTTGGCTTAAAAAAATCAAAACAAAGCCCTGTTATCCATGCAGGCTAATAGTTAATCTTCCATGAACAGCTTGTGCTAATTCAGTGCAAGCTTTCTCTCCTCCCTCAGTACCCTACTTTAGCTCCCCGTTCTCTCCTCTTCCCCCATGTGTAACAGTATAACATTAAGGGCAGGTACCTTCATGTTGAGTCTAGATGCACATTGATAGGCTTTATTTTTTCTTTTTTCCTTTCTGTTGGCAGTGATGGTGCAGGAAGAAGTGGAACCTACATTCTAATTGACATGGTTCTCAATAAAATGGCCAAAGGTGAGAATCGAAAGGCTTGTTACTTCCTTGGTACTGAAAGATGTGCTTATGTTGCCATGACAACGCGGAGAGCAATATTCACAGAAAATCGGAGAATAAATTAGAGGCAAATTGTACTCTTTCCTGAACGTTCTTAAGTTTTATTTTCATAGCAGTTTTTCAAACAACAAACCCAAATGCAAATGCTTTGTGAATGAGCAGGTGTTTTTGTGCTGTTGAGAAGTATTTGAATTTTAAAATTTATCATTTAAAATAGTTATTACAGTTTTTAGAAGATACCTTGGGGCTGTACAATCCTTTTTTAGTGGTTAAATGAGTTAGGTCCTGGGCTGCTTCATGGCTGTTGCCTAGTCCTCTGTCAACTACCCAGCCACGATGGTCAAACGCGATTACTTTTTGTCGCTGCCCATTGCCACCAAAGCACCAAGAAGAGTTGGTACCAGACCGGGCCTCGTGTGCTGCACAGATTTGTCTCTTAGAAGGAAAAAGACTGTAGTGAACAGGACAGAGGGCTGAAAATAAATCAGCTAATGCTCTGTTCCCAGTTCTGCCACTATCTGTTCAATATTGAACAGTTTATTTAACTTCTGTGTTCCTTAGTTTCCTTATCTATGAGATGTAATTTTATTAAATGGGAAATCATCTGTCAACATAAATATGTACCGTTGTTTGTTTAAAATGAAGTCTATAGATTCTCTAGAGATTGGGACCATTCCTTTACTTTTTATTTATTGGTAAATGGTTCATGGTGGGAAGTACTTGAGATACCCTGAAATAACCTTTGTATGTTAGAACTAAACCAAATTTTTAATACTGATACTGTCTTCAAAAGGAAGGAGGGTAAAAGTGGGCATGTAAACCTGACCATATGTTAAAAAGACATAATAGTCAGCTTTATTTATATACTGTACCTCTTCCTCATGCCTTTGGCCATGTTTCTATCACAGTGTCATAGAACTGCATTTTAAGAGGAAGAGAACTCTTGTGAGGTTGAAAATAAACAAAAAATAGTCATTTGCCTTTCTCAGTTCTGAACCCGAGTTAAGCCACCTTGATCTGGCATTATGCACATATGTGTATTTAAAGAAAAAATATTAATTGTAAAAATGTATATTGATTTATATAGAGAAACGATATTTAGTTCTTTGAGTTCTAATCGCTTTACAGTTGTTGTTTAAAATCTTCTAACATAGACATATTTTTAAACGTAGTCTAAAAATACACTCCATGCTTTGCAGTCATCTGCTATCGCATCCTGCATATCCCAGTCCTGTGGGACATAGTGGCATCCTATCCCTTTAGAAAGAAGGGTTTAGCTGTTTTTTTCTCTCCAGATTCTGTTAACGTGTCTCGTCAAACGTGGACTGAATTTTCTGCCCGTGACCATCGTGTGGAACTTGCTGCTGATGTTAGAAGTTGTGTGTTTGCCTTCTCCTTAGCACTGTACTGCAAATAAATTTTTCAGTGGGATGGGATTAGTTTTTCATGCTCGTTGGAAAATAGGTTTTCACTCTGTGAAGAAATATGGAGATATCTGCAATGCTTGTTACGTGCCACGTGACAGCCTAGTCTTTAAAAATCGGAGCGATGGTATGTCGTAAAATTAACGTAGACCTTTGTTAGGTATTTGTTCGGCTCATTTCAGCCATCAGCAATGAGAAGCCGTAATGAAAACTAGATTTAAAGTATATGCAATTTACTTGCATAAAGAAGTAAATGAGAAGTATTTTCTAGCTTGGGGCTTTCAGCCACTTAAGGGAGGGTTGACTTTGTTGTAAAAGCACTGAAGAATGCCATTTATTGACTCCATTGTACCATGTAATGTCAAATTCCATTTTAAGTGTGGGCTTAGCGCTTCACAATACCAGACAAGTCATGTGAAACTGGCCAGAGAAAGGCGTCACAGGGCTTTTTGGAGATCGGTCACCCCCATTTTGTTCTTGACCTGCTCCCCTCTGCCCGTGGGGGTGTGCGACGCGAAATCCCCTGACCTGGTGCTTTGGCTGGGGTTTAAATGAAAGATCAAAGGGCAGAGCGGGCATCTCAGCCCTGCTGAGGTGGGCCTTTCCCAGGCTGTCACACTGTGCGGCCGCCAAAGGTTTTGTTCGGGCGGGAACCGAGGCCCAGCCTGTGCGGCCGGGGCCCTCTTTGTCTGGCCTGAGAAGCTGGAGGCCCAGGTTGAGGATCCAATGTTCATCAAATGATCAAAGGCCTGAAGCCCTGGACATGAAATCTTTCTTTCCATTTCCTTTTCTTAGGGAATGAATTGCACGAGTGGCAAAGAATGCCCTTTCCAAAGCTTTTATGTGGAGTGCGAGGGCTAACTTCAGAGTCCTTCAGCACTAAACATAAAAATGTAAGTGCACTTTCAATCTGGGCCCAGCTGCAAGGCCAGCATCTAGTAACATTTCTTTCAAAAAGGCTTTTAAGGATTAAGGCCTTCAGTCTTTCAAAAAAAAAAAAAAAAAGAAAACGGACTTTTAAGAATAAACTTAGAATAATTTGAGTTTCTTGTTCCACTGTCTGGTTTATTAGAAAGTAGACAATAATGCATTTTTAAATCAAAGTAAATAGAGGAGTACTTAGTTTCGGCAGTGGGAAAGTAGAAAGCAATCAATAAATGCCTTGGCTCTTTAGTGGGGTTTTTAATAGGGTGAGTTGAGAAAAGGAGCTCCTTTTTCATGTAATGATTTACTTCCCTGCATTCTCTTAGACAGTTAACTGTAAATGCCTGTGTCATTTACAATTTCTTCTCCTACTGCTCATTGAATTAGTGCTAATACTTAGTCTATTAAACACGTTATAAATTCATATCTTCTACTATCTTGCCTGTTGCCATCCCTCATATTATTTTAGATGCTGAAAACCGCCAGCAAGGGACCTGTTCCTAAAGCCTAAAGCGGGGGGAAAAGAAACCAAACTGGGGAGGATTTTGTGCTTGACACCCGCCCCATCAGTCTGACAGCCCCGACCGCTTCGAGAAAGCAGGAGTGAAATTTAAAAAAAGGCAAAGCACGCTATCTTAGTGCGCCTGCAGGACGGTAAAAGTTAGTCCCGAGGGTAGAAGTGTGTACTTGAGGGGTGGTTTGGGCTGGCGGGAGGGCACGCCGAGCTCGCCCAGAGCGGACGGGAGCCCCCGCGCAGCAAACACCTTCCTGGCCCCCGGCTGCCTTTGAGAGCCGGGCAGCCCTGGCCCGCGGGACTCCCGCCGGCTCTGCACAGCATCAGGAAGGATTTCCTGTTGGGTCGGGTTTTTAATGAATTTCACTATCCTCCGAGCAGCAAATGGAATGACTCCATCTGTGCATTCACTCCAAACAGCCACATTAAATAATCTTATTAGATACTGGAACAGTCAGAGAACAACGGTGCCTATTCAGTGCTATCATTCCTGTGTCGTGTCAGCGGAAAGTTTTAAATGCAAGTGGATCCTTTTGTTTAGTTGCTCCAGTAACTTAGTGCTGCTATTTATCATGTAGTTTATTACGATAATTATTTTTCTTGCTAGATTCATATGCAGAGTAGTTACAAGACCCTGTTCCTATACCCATCAAAGTAATGACAAAAATGAAAGAGTGTTGAATCTGGTCTTACAGTAACACGTTTAAATACTATTCAACGTGATTTAACTATGATAACTATTTAACTGTGATACTGTTTTTACATGGGTGTTACAATTTTAAGACAGTTACCAAGTCACCTCTCATTTCATTGACAGTTTAGGACAAGCTTTAGTGAGAAGTTGAGAAGTGATTCATTTCAACTCCATGCATGCTTCCATGATTTAAATAAATACAGAAAATGATAATGGATTGTTTTTGTACGTAACAATGCTTGCTGGATTTTTGACAGAGACTGTTTTTCTGAGGCTGATTTCTGCTGAGAATTTCACTGTTCTTGATGTATTTATGAGTTTTATCCTTTGTTACTAGGGAAGATAAACTGATTTAGATTTAGTCTACTTGATATTCCTTCCTCACCCCAAACTGACAGTAACTCCGAGCTGATCAGGTTTTTTCTTTTTGTGTGATCTAGAGAAAAGTTGAGAATTTTCTCATTTCTTGTCTTTCCTGCAGGCTTATTGTAGTGACTAAAAGTCTGATATATTGCAAGACATTTTTATTGAGTGTTTCTGGCATGAAAAAGAAAAAAAAAAGAGATTATGAGTCTTCCCACTTTCATTTTTCTGAACTGAGAGGCTTGGATAGTGTAGATAATAGTTTGATTTTTAGATATTAATCCAGCCAGCAACTGCTTAGGGTTTGCTGACCATCCATTTTCTTGTGTTTGAACGAGCTGGAACGAGATGAGTCAAAGGGAAGGCGAATATGAATTTTAAAATCCTTTTAAAGTATTGATTTCTGAATTCTAAAACCCAGCAAAAAGATTCGATTTAGCAAAGCCGAACCAACGGTTTATTCTCTCGCATTCAAAAGCTTGGATTATAATTGATGAGCACACACTCTCTGGCCTGGGCTGGCTGCGGAGGTTATCTCCCCAAGTCCTTTCCTTGCCCCCGCTACCCTATTGTCTGAGGGTCTTGTGAGTCAGCTCCTGAGCAGATGCAGTTTATACCGTGACATTTTAAGGCAAAACAAAAGATTCCTTAATTCGCCTTCTGACTCATCATGATCAAATGATTTTGGCTAATCTGAACCCTTGCTGAGGTTTTGCTTATCTGCTGTGTGGATTTAACAATCATAATGAAGTTGTGGGGTTAGCTCCTCTCTGAAAGGATTTTATGAAAGAAAATGCTTGCCCATATTCATGTTAAAATGGATTCAATCTGCTTATTTTTGCTTATGCAAAGTCTGAGAAAATTCTATTGTTCGGTTGTGCTGATACAAGTCTAGAGCAGACTTATTTCTGACATGCTTTTGGTGACTGAGATAATATTTCTTCAGCCCAGGATCCAGCTTCTCCCATGAAAATAAAACTTAACATACTACATGTCATACAGTAGTTGAGAGAATATATAGTGTAGAAGAGAGGGGGGTTTT